ATTAGGGTTTAGATTCTGGCTCTGCTTTGATTTCTCCATTCTTTGTGGACAAGTCATTTAACATCTCTGATCCCCCTCCTCATTCTTCTAAAAAATAACTGTAGAGTCTGTTGTAGATCAGTTCTGATTCTCTAATTTTGTTAGTTTTGACAGTTATAATAAATTACAAAGTTAATTTCCTTATGTCTTTATCAGGTCAAATTACAATATCTCTGGATTGATGTTTGATTCATACTAAGAAAATGTCTAATGTTGCACTCTTTCGTGTGTGTCCTACAGTCGGCCCTCCGTATCTGTGGGTTTCCCAACTGTGGATTCAACCCATATTTGGAAAAAAACTGCATCTGTACTAAACATGTACAGACTTTTTTCTTGTCATTCTTCTTTAAACAATACAGTAAAACAACTATTTACATAGAATTTACATTGTATTAGGTATTATAGGTAATCTAGAGATGATTTAAGGGCTATGGGAGGAGGTGTATAGGTCATATGCAAACACTACCCCACTTTACATCAGGGACTGGAGCATCCTGGATTTTGGCGCCACTCCCCTGGCAGTGCTGAGGGATGACCGTACTTGGTTTTTGTTCTTCCATTCGGTCCTATACTGGTTCTATCTATGTTCTTTCATGTTCCTTTCCATTTAAAGATTAATCCTTAATGATTAAGGTTAATTATATTTTTATTGAATAATCATTAGAACAAGCAAGAGGGGAAAAGGTTCTGTGGTAAAAGCACATTGGGAGAAAAATGCTCCCTGAAACTAGACCCACTCATTTCCCCACAATTACCATTTCAAGAGTCTCCGTTGATGGCTCAGTCACATCCTTCAGGTGTGGAGGGGAAACAGGAACTTGCTACATGTGCTACGTGTGTGCTAATTAGCAGCACATCAAATGTTTGGTTCTGCTCTGAGGCATCATGACAAATATTTAAAGTCTAGTAGTTTTTATTACAAACGTCTTTTACACATAAGCAGTCCCAAATGGTTCATTAATAACATGTCCTGGACTTCAAGCAAGCATATTACGTCTTGAGAAAAGATTAGGTTATAGCAGTGCACAAGATCTTTTCACTGTAAGAAACTTGAATCATCTTAATTTTAGCTTTCAAAAAGGTAAGGCTTATATTCATGTATTTCTGTAATTCCAGGTATGATTTTTTCATCGTGAGCCAGGCTGTGAGAAGTGGTAGTGTTTCTCCGACACACTATAACGTCATCTATGACAGCAGCGGCCTGAAGCCAGACCACATACAGCGGCTGACTTACAAGCTCTGTCACGTGTATTATAACTGGCCAGTGAGTATCTTCATTTGTTGATGTTTTTTCACATCAATGAGATTCACTTTTCAAAATGAAGTTGCTATGGTTTAAAAGTCTTTTAGAGTTAATACTGAGATTTTTGATTTAAAGAAGCTAAATTTAGAGTAATAGAACCTTTTTTTCCTTCCACCAAAGGGTGTCATTCGTGTTCCTGCTCCTTGCCAGTACGCCCACAAACTGGCTTTCCTTGTTGGCCAGAGTATTCACAGAGAACCAAATCTGTCACTGTCAAATCGTCTTTACTACCTCTAACCTACAGAAGAAGACAAGATGTAGCTGTTTTTTCTTTTCAAAATTATAACTTTGGGGTTTTTGTAAGCTTTTATTTTTTTAACTGTTACCTTTCTAGATGAAACTTGGGCAGGGAATTAAATCTAAGAGTTTTATTTCTAACATTGCTATTCATTGGCATTCTTATAGGTAAAAATTAAGATTTTATATTTTATATTGTTTCTCATAAGTATGTTGTGAGGATTTTTTTGTTTTGAAAAAATGGAAAAGTACTTTGTATTATAAACAGGCTCTCAAAGTATTTGAAAAGTGGGAGTTTTCTTGAAAGTGCTTTCAGGAGTGAGCAAGTCCTACTTAGAAACCTATATTAACTTTATTTTTTAAATATTTATTTTGAATTGAAAGGAGAGAAGGCATATAGTAGGATGCTCACTACAATGGTAGGTAGGGTTTTATTTGGGTATTTGATATCTCATATTTTAAAGATAAAAGCTACCAATAAATGACCCAATATTATAGGAGAAAATATGCTTATTTTTATTTCTTTTGTGGGGCTAGATGGTATGGGGGTAAAAAAAAAAGATAGTTGAAAAGTTTTAAATTTCTGTCCCAAGAAACATTTTAAGACTCTTTAACAAAAGAGGCCAGTATTGAAGCTCTATATTAAGGTTGCTATTTATTTTGTTTTGCCG